TAAGCTGCTCCGAAACAAGGCTGCGGAGAAGGCTCCTCGAAGCCGGAAGCAGTCACGGTCACATAGCAATTCAACCCCAACATCTGCCGTGAGCGATTACTACACAGAAGTACTTCTTGATGGGGAAATCCGTGCCAAAACTGCTGTCAAGTATCGCACAGCCAACCCGTTTTGGCGAGAGGATTTTAATTTCAGTGATCTTCCACCTGTCCTGTCGCAAGTATCGATATTAGTAAAGACGATCAGCCCGACACAGAAGGATTGGACGCTTATCGCACATGGCTCCTATGGCCAGGACCATAGTAATCCGGCACGTTTGTTAGACGACGTTGAGCTCTCCTCCCAGGATGCTACGTTCGGCAGGGTCGATTTGAAATTGGACGATTTACAGCCTGGAGTCGAAACGGAAAAGTGGTGGCCGATCTTAGATGATAAGAATCAGCCGGTGGGTGAAATGCTCATGCGAGCGCGGATGGAGGAGACGGTCGTTCTGATGTCGCACGAGTACACGCCGATGTCGGAAATCCTACATTCGTTCACCAATGGGCTCACTATTAACATGTCTCAAGTCATGTCCTCGGAGCTGAATCAGTTGTCCGAAGCTCTTCTAAATATTTACCAGGTGTCAGGCACGACTGTCGAGTGGATCTCAGCCTTGGTTGAGGATGAGATTGACGGGCTGCACAAAGAATCGACAGCGAATAGACTGAGGTATACCACGAGGATTCACTCCAACGATTCCCGGGAGTCGGGCCAAGAAAGAGAAGTCCTTGTGAGAGACATGGGCCGTACTGCTACCGTCGAGGCAAACCTGCTTTTTCGAGGAAATTCGCTTCTCACCAAGGCGCTTGACTACCACATGCGTCGCTTAGGCAAGGAATACTTGGAAGAAACCATTGGCGAGCGACTTCGCGATATCGATGAGACCGACCCGGAGTGCGAGGTGGACCCTTCCCGTGTACATCGATCGGATGATCTCGAACGCAACTGGAGGAACCTCGTCTCCCTAAGTACAGGGGTGTGGAAGTCGATTGCAAGCTCTGCATCTAGATGCCCGGCCGAGTTGAGGCTCATCTTTCGGCACATCCGAGCTTGTGCCGAGGACCGCTATGGCGATTTCCTTCGGTCAGTCACATACAGTAGTGTATCGGGCTTCCTATTTCTGCGGTTCTTTTGTCCAGCAATCCTGAATCCCAAACTCTTTGGATTGCTCAAAGGTAGCTATTCTTCCCCCCTCCCACTGATCTTCATTTTTCTAATGCGCGCAGATCATCCGCGCCCCCGCGCCCAACGCACATTGACACTGATTGCCAAGGCCCTGCAGGGCCTGGCCAACATGACCACCTTCGGCAGCAAGGAGCCTTGGATGGAACCCATGAACAAGTTTCTGGTCAGCAACCGCGCCGATTTCAAGCAATTCGTCGACTCGATCTGTGCTATCCCTGCCGACCGTCCCGCACCTATCGTCACACCCTCCTATGCCACCCCCATACAGATTTTGGGTCGTCTGCCCCCGACATCCCGCGAAGGATTCCCCAGTCTACCCTTCCTCATTGATCACGCGCGAAGCTTTGCCAATCTCATCAGTATATGGCTCGAGATCGCACCGGAGCGCCTGGCGGAAATGGAGGAGATTGACCCAGCCGTCAGCAAATTCCATGAAATGGCCGTTCGTCTGCACCAACGCACCAAGGAATGTTTGAGCAGAGCCGAGCAGGCAGAGCGTCCAAACGGAGGCCTTGAGGTCAAGTGGGAGGAACTGGTCGATGCCATGGAACGATCGGTGACCTTTTACGAAGACAGCTCCAAGCCTACGAGCCCGGCCACAGAGGCAGCTATCGCAGGGTCGACATCCCTTACGGGCAGCCATCGCAATTCGATCGGCTATTTCGCGTCACGGCCCTCTCTACCGCGTCGATCTACCGATTACGCTCCTGAAGCCGAGGATGACACGCCTCCCAGTTCCTCTTCCGCCACCTGGGACCAAAGTAGAGTCCCCTTCTCGATACCGCGATGGGCAGATCCCAGGGACAGCACCGGCAGTTCGAAGAACTCTTCCACGTATTCGCTTGAATACCCCGAACCCTCGAAATCGCGCAGATCTAGCATCACCAGGGAGACAACAAGCAAGTACCGGTTCTTCGATTTCGTGCCCCCGTCTCGCCGCAAAGCGAAGGATCGGGAACAGGCTCAGCATTCGCGTGAGGAACAACGCAACGAGTCATGACGCCCAAGTGGCCTGGGTAATACCTAGGCTTGCCTCGCTCTTGAGCTCGTGCAGTGGTGTCATGGCCTATCTGGATCATGACGATTCCAAGCATCTATCCCACATCTGTGGCTTTAGACAAAATATTTTACCTTCTACGGCTGCCCCGCCTTCTCTACGCCCCATGAATGTCATCGGGGAAGCTCTTGCAGCGGTGATGCTTGCATGTTGCGGGCAGCCATTTCTGTGTACAACATGAGAGCTTGATTTCATGTATTGAGATCCCTGCATCTTCTGGTGTAAATTTTTCTGCGATTACATTTCTTCTCCTTTTCTCCTACCGCATGTGCCCATGATTTAACGTTCGTTTCTCCTAACACCCTCTTCCGCTGGTTTTATTTGGTTTTATTTTTGGAAAGCATTTGTCATGGTGTTGATACCCTGCTCTGATGGCTGTTTTTACGTGGAAAACAAGAGATCCTGTGAGCAGAGTGCCGGATATGATCTTCCATGGATGATGTATGGATTGTGGGCAGCAAAAGCCCCTCCCTACTATGGGGTGTTTTTGCCAGTCCACAATTGCAATTGTTGTGTAAATAGCGTCTACCTTTCCTCTGGGCATAGATGAAATGAGTAACTCCACCTTGTTAGACTTGTACTTGAGTACCGCTTAATGCCGCGCCCGAATATACTACATAATACTACCACACCAATCCCAAAAACCACTCCGATCTCATACATACATCCAACCAACCAACCCCTGCCCCAATTCCCCACACCCTCATAACAATAAATCTACATCCACAAACATATCTTCCCACTCGCCGTACCCCCCGCAACCCAATTCCTACTACGATGAAAAACAGCCACCGCCGGCACAGCCGTAATGCCCTCCCCGCCCAACTGCGCCAACTGATCCCCTTCCCCGCTATAAATATCCACAAACCGATTCATATTTCCGATGCAGAAGCGCTGGATATGCGATTGCGGGTTCTGCTGCCACTGGGGGCGGAGACTGTGGCCACATCATTATTAGCATATGATTCAGAACAAAAGGAACGAACATTCATGAGAAAAAAAAAATAAAAAAAGAAAGGAAGGAAGTGGGGATAAAACATACATCGTAACCCATCTCCCCGTCTGACAATTATGTCTCACAACCGTATCCGGCCCCAACTCATCCTCCTCAACCGCATGACCCACATCCCAGCTCGATATCCCCTTCTTCTTCAAATCGTATATCTTGAGCGTATCGTCATACGACGACGTCGCGATCTGCCCGGCGCTGTTGAATGCAGCATGCGAGACGGAGAGTCGACTGTAGTGTTCTCCTACCGGGGTAGGTCCCTTATCTTCATCAAGTCCCCTCTTGCTCCTCTTGGGCTTCTGCAGCATGCGCAAATCCCATAGCCGCATCGAGCGGTCCAGACTCGCTGTCGCGAAGTAGTACGGTGCCGTCGGGTAGAGTGAGAACCCGCCGATTTTCTTCTCCGATAGTTGCCATGTGGTTACTGTTCCTGATGCTGTTGGGTCGGTGCGGATGTCGTGTCGTCCGAAGGCTCCGTCTAGGGTTGTCCAGTAGAGGACGTTGGGGTCGTCGAGGGCCATGTCGATTCCTGAGATGGGCTCGTCCGAGGAGGTCGATTCCGGCGCGTATTTCTCCACGCTGGTGGATTTCTCGAGGTCCATGGCCCGGATCGAGCTGTCGTAGCTGGCTGTGTAGAGGGTTGTGGGGGTGCTGGGGTGGATGTGCATGCTGCTGATGGTTCGGGTGTGTGGTTTTACGGTTGTCAGGACGGGGTCTGGGTCTGGGTCTTCGGAGTCGGAGTCGTCTTCTTCGGGTTTGATTGAGGTGGGCTTCTCTTGGGAGGCGTCCAGGATGCCGAGGTGGCCCATTTTGTCGCCGGCGAAGATGAGGGGTTTGGATTCTGTCGGGTGGAAGGTCATGGCGTAGACTCGTTCAGGGGTCAGCTTGATGCCTGTTGTGATTGTTAGTATTGTCTATGGTAGATGGTAGTAGGGGAAGGAGAGAGGGGGACAGACGATTAGGTTCCCACGCATCCCAGAGCGTCAACCCATTCATTTCCTTCCTCAACGCCTTCAAGTCCTTATCCGTCGTCTTCTGGATCTCATCATCGCCAAACGTCCGCTGATACGGTATCGCCACGCCCTTGGTCACCACATCTACTCCGATCAATCCATCCGCAGGCAACTTCTGTCCATTCACCATGATATCACTGAACGAGAAGTTATCCGACTTGCGGACTCGTTTCGCGCGCTCCGCTTCCTGTCGCGCCTCGTACTCTTCTTCTGCCTTGCGCTTCGCGACTTCGCTTTCCGCCGCGATGCCCCTCAATCGGGATGACATGCGCCGCGGCTGCGGCGTCTCCTCCTTGATTTTCTTGACCGAAGTCTTCTTCTTCGTCCGCGACTGGTCCTTCGCTGCTGGTTTGGGCATCTTCGGCGGAAATAGCCCCGAGGACTGCGCCTCCATGGTCAGCTTTTTGAGTAGCGCATCGCGTTCGGCGATGTTGGCTAGGCGCTGCTTTTCGAACTCGGAGATTTCGTCGTTGCCCATTTTGAATGTTTTTTCTCCCTCTTACAGAGGGGGAGTGTCTGTGTAGAGAGTGTTGCTCACTGCAATGACTGCTGAATGGCGCAGATGGATAACTTTGCTCGCGCGGATCAGAGGCGCGTTCGGAGCGCCGCGTGGTCACGTGGCTCTAATTGATGGGAGAAACTGCGCCGAGCGGGAGATTCTCCGACGGACGGCTGGTTCAGCTTCACTTCGGCAGACCGGTCCACCAATTGTTGATCAGTGGAAAGGTTGTCGTGCATTTGCAGTCTATATAACCAGACTGTAATCCAGAGTTGTCAAACAATGAGTGCCCGAATCTCCCGGTCCTGGTTGGCGCTCGTAACTCGCAACTCGTCCGTCCCATTCCTGTACCAAACTCGCACCCTCACTGCCGCATACCTGTCCCCCCCATTCCGCCAGCAGTACTCGACCTCTAGCGACGCCAACGAGCAGGACCATGAAGCAGCAACAACAACAACAACAACAACAGCAGCAGCAGCAGCAGAACCAGCACAAGATGACAAGCCCGCCCGTCCAGTCCGGAGGAGCTTCCTACGGAAAAAGGCCGCGGCCGTCACTCAACAGCAGCAGCAACAACAAGCACCCTCTAAACCAGCTCCGCAAAAGCCCGTCACCATGACCAGCACCGAGAAGCAAATCTTCGGCAATCTGCTCGAACAACTCGGCACCGAGCGCCGCCAGCAATCCCAGACCGAGCTCACCTCATCCACACCATCCGCATCATCAACGGAATCAAAACCCACCCTCCGCGACGAAGACATGGACGAGATGGCGCAAATCTCCGCGATCTTCGACTCCGTCCTGCAAGACATGAAAGAGAAGCGCCAGCGCAGCGCAGCGCGCACCGAGCGACAGGAGAGCGAAATCGCCGTGCGAGAACAGAACACCGCCATTGAAGAGAAGCTCCAAACAGGCGAATACACCGATGACGAGCTAGCGGAGATGATATCCTCGAAACAGATCTCCATGGATAGGGCCATCGAGGCCGTGATCATGCGCGAGTCCGTCAGCATTGAAGCCGCACTCTGGGACGCTATTGATAACCGTCGCGGAGATACCGCTATCTGGGAGGTATGCAAGGAGCGGATCTTTAATATCCTGCGACACTTGGACGATGAGAAGAAGGGTCTGTTGGGCGTGAAGGACGAATCTACTTCGGAGAGTTTCCTCGCTATTCCCCCTGTCGTTCCCACTGAACCTGTTGTCACGGAACTCTATCCCAAGATGCTCCTCGTCGCGTTCAAGCTCCTCAATCTGCATTATCCCGAATCGCATCTGATCAGTCAGTTCCGTGCCACGATTAAGTCTATGGGTAGGGCGTCGGCTGTTCTGGGTGGGTCCACGGCTCTTTATAATGAGTTTATCTATTTCTATTGGCGCGGATGTCATGATTTGCCGGGTGTGGTGTCGCTGCTTCGTGATATGGAGGTTACGGGTGTGGAACCGAATCGGCGTACGTGCGGTCTGTTGCATTCGATCAAGAATCAGAGGGATCATGATCTGAGGAATCATTGGCGGAAGGCCAAGGTGGAGGGCAAGCAGGGGAAGTCGAATCGTGAGCCGTGGTGGGATTTGGCGCCGAATCGGAAGGCAGTCCGGGAGTTGTTTGGGGATGAGGGGTGGGTGAAGAAGTTGGAGGGGAGGGTGAAGGAGATTGAGAGGGCGAGGGATTATTAACTGACTTGTATAGTATAGTATATATGTATGGTGCCGTTGAAAGAGACGTGAATGTAAATATACAATTGTATCACCGGAAGTAAATACCAGTAAGCAAAGCAAGCCAAAAAAGAAATGATGTTAATAATAGTACATCCTACCACCACCCCATACCTTCTTCCCCATCACATTGAAGGGTCCAGGTACCAGCTACAGCTTCAACCCCCAACTCCTCCCCAATCCCACAGCAGTGGACCCCAAGAACCCCAAACACTGCTTCACCCCAGACACTTTATCCTTCACAGCCCTTGCATCCGCCCAGCGGCGAGTCAGAAATTCCTCGGTATCGCGCAGCCCCGCGCTCGTATCCCGCGTCATCACAAACTCCGACGACGCATACACGGCCGCCACAGCCATGCGCTTCGAATACCACGATGCATCGACGGAAGCGTCGCCCGCTAGCGTGAGGATATCGTCCGAGAGGGAGTGCAGTTCGGATAATGAGAGGGGGATGTTTTCGCCGAGGGACATGATGGCTAGGGCCTACATCATCATTATTTCGTTAGTACCTGATGTTATTTACTCTCAATGGTATAAAGGAACGGGTGATAAGGTGTATCATACATCCTGCAACTTATCCTTCACTTCAACATTCATGCGCAGCCGCTCCATAATCAGAACCTTGATCTTGTCATCCACGGACAGAGGTCCCTGCTGGGATGATTGCAGCAGCGCATCGTTCTCCACCTTGGAGCGGAGGAGACCCCGACGACTCGCCAGCCAGAAGAGAATCAGGTCGAATTCGCCCCGCGGAAGAAGTTGCACCGAGACGTCGAGGAAGCCGGCGTCCCGGGCTCCGAGGGTTAGGGCGTCGCGGGTGAAGCCGTGGGTCGGGACGTGGCGGAGAGCGGAGGAGAGGATGGTCGTTTGGGAGTTGGAGTATTCGTGAGGTGGGGAGGGGTGGTGGATGGAGTGGTAGGGACGAATGCTGGGGGTGGTGGTGCGGAGGCATGGTTGGTGTTGGTTGGTGCGGAGGGTGGTGGTGGTGGTGGTGGGTTTGGTGGTGAGGAGAGATGTGGTTGTACGGATGGGTGTGGTTGTGGTTGTTCGGGGTGCGGCGGTTGTGAGATACCTCCGGGAGAGGGTGAGGAGGGGTTGTGTGCGAGTCATGGTGGGTGAGGCAGTGGTTGTGGTTGTGGTTTGGGAGGAATTGAAGGTCGGAGATGGAGATTGGAGATGGAAGTTGGATGGATGGCGGAGGATTTTCTAAGCGGTGGCCTGAGCGGAGAGCCAAGAGCTTCTTCTTCGGGATGTCTTAATACATAGTGGTATTTGTCTGGGGTCAACTTTTTGGACTGTATACTAACTAATGCGATCAATGGGACTTGTGGTTGTTCGATGTAGGGGTCTGCATGGTCATTTGATGGGATTTATTGGGGCTTGTGGTGGTTCAGGGTTCTTGATTCTGTCGGGGGGCGCTGAGACAGTGGCTGTCTTTAGTGTTACGGTGGATGGAGTATGGGGAGTCACAATGGGAACAACTTTGGGGTTAGCACACTCCGGTGGCTTATTGGTCAATCACTGTATAGCTCTAAGTATGATCTAGTTGATAGGTACTATTTTGGAGTAATGTGGAAATAAATGAAGGGCTGAAATCAACTGCATTGATGTGGATGCGGTGGTGGTGCCTGTGCCTGTTGATCCTGACAAGATGATAGGCTGTCTGTGTCTGATGTTGATGGATGATGATCAATTAATGCCTCATTTACTGCCACTCGGCCATCTATTACCCTTGTATTTCCCTTGGATCCTTTTCTCCATTTTATTTATCAGAGAACATCCCGACCGCTCGAGCCTCTATCCCTGCCGTCTTGCTTATCCCCAGCTGCCTCTCTGTTCACACTCTGGCCCCATCTGACTGACTCTCTCTCTCTTTTTCTCTTTCTTCTCCTCACGACTGTTATCTACTAGTGTGTTTGTTGCATCTGGCACTACTCCCGTACTAACTAGACCACTAGACTATCCCTTCCTATTATCCCCCTCTTTTCCTTTCGGATCTCCGTCTTGTTCTGATAATCGTCCGTCCGTCTTGAAAGGGCGATCCAGACTGTCTTCCTGTCCCTCCATTTACCTACCTACCTTGTTCCTATCACCATCATCAGCACTACCACCACTACTCCGTATTACTGCTACTATTCTCTCCCTTGTGATAACTAACGTATTATCTCCCTTCCACAACCCCCCTTTTTATTCATTTTATTCTTCTTACTCCATCAAATCCAATATTGTCAATATCATCAACATGGGTGGGTGATACTTTTCCTATAATGCAACTTCTCTTTTCCCCCATGTCGGTTCCCCGGATTGTTTGTTTGTCTCTCTCGTGATCCACCGTCAATGGCTTGTCCCGGTGGACATCCAGCCCACGTTTCCCTCTTGCTTCGATCCATAATCCATACTTTGAGGCTACCTCACCTTACATTCCTGTCCCGGCTGGGAATGAACTTGTGACATGATTGCCCGGCAGACAGGATTGACTTCAACCCTGATGTGCCTCCTCCCACCCCCCCCTTGTCTAGGCTGCACATACCTACCCGTATCTCTGAGCTTCCCCCCCTCATCATTATCACACGGGTTCCCACACCAGCAGGGGACCTCCATCCTCGTTCACTGCGCCGGGTGGACGTGCCGAGTCAGAGCAGTGACCAACCATCCCGATCATGCATCTCATTCCTCTTGCTGCGACAGCTACGCCAACCACAACCACGCTCAGTGGAGGGATGTCTGCGGATGCCCCCGGGGGGAAGGCCAATCACGCCGCGTGCTGCATGGTGTCCCGAACGGGCTGGCAGACACAGACGGACTCGAACTGCTTCTGCACTGGGCGGATGGGATGGCATGGGATTGGATCTGACTTGACACACACACACGGGCTGGAACAGCACGACAGTGGTCTCTTTTCTCAGCTGGTTTTGGCTTTGGACCTTGTCTCATCGTTTCTTTTTCCTTTTCTCTCTTTTCCCTTCCCCCCCCCCCCCTCCTCTCGGCCATCCCCTTCCCTGGCTGGCTGCTTCTTACACACACGCGCACACTACTCCCACCTACTACTACTGTGCTAGTAGTACTTCCTCACCCTCTCTCTCTCTCTCACACACACACACACAGCCGCCCACACACACACTTTCTTCTGTGTCTGACTTGACTTCCCTTTCCCCCCTCCCGCCGTCACCCTCCTTTATCTCTCGCGTCTCGCCTCCTCTCCATTCTTCTTTCTTCTACCTTAATTCCTCCTTCTTTCCCGTCCCCATCCCAATCTTCCCCCTCTTTTTTTCTTTCTTCGTACTCTGGTAATTTCCTTTCTACTGCTTTGTTCCCCCGCGACCGTGGATTCGGTGGCTTACCATCTAGGCTTAATCTTCAGCCGACGTCTATCGACCCTATCAAGTAAGTTTGCTTTCCGATCGGTTGATTCGCTTGTAGCTCTTCTTTGGAAATGGATGCGAGTTAGCGCTGTTCTTGGTTGTTTTTCTGGAAAGAAAGGACTTTCTTTGCCATTGTTGCGGGCAGCTGGACGGGGAGACAGTGAACAAGTCCATCTCAGCTGCAAATACTAGACAAGAGTGTGATGGGATGGGCGGTGCTCACGGCTCACGTTCGGGAATCCGTCATCCCCACTGTTTGCTGCCACTCCCGCAAGCTATCCACCCTCGTTCTTGATCTTCCACTCCGATCTTCATCTATGATGCATCTAGTTTTGGGATTATTTTTTTTTTTTTTTTGGTTGTTGCTTGCTTATTTCCCATACGGAAGAGATTTCACTGTGTTCTCACTTGCATCTGTCTCTTCTCTTCACTCTCCTCCCTTCCCACTGCTGGTCTGTTGGAAATGGGCTGTGTCCAGTTGCCCGTGACTTCCCCAGGGTCCCCCCGGTCTGGCGTTTGACGCTAAACCTGATTGGGGTGTAAAATCACCTGACTGGCCCCGTGTCTGGCGCAGAAACCGGAACTCGGACCCAATCCAATCCAGTCCCGTGCATTCCTGCTCCTGCTCTTCCCTCTCACTCAACTCACCTCTCATCTCTCCAATTCACTCCCCCCATCTTTCCATTGCCATTCCCCATTGCCGATTCCCCCGATTTCGTTCCATCCAACCAAGCAGCTCCATTTCCCACCCACCCCCCAGTTCCAGGGACCTTGCGCGCTGATCTCATCCAACCCACTCTTGTCTCACCACCTCTTTGCCTTTCTTTAAATCTCCACCCTCTGCCATTCCCGCGCGCTCGCTCTCCTCCCGCCTCATGTCTCCATCTGCATTCGACGACACTGACCACGCACAGCGCGAGAGGTCTCGTTCTCCCCGTCGTCGTTCTCGTAGCCCTCGACGCAGCCGTCGCTCTTACTCTCCCCGCAGTCGCTCTCGCAGCCGTGACGACTATCGCCGCTCCGACCGTCGTTCTCGTTCGCCTATGAGTACGACCCAAGGCGCTCCCGGTGGTCATTCTGCTTCTGGTTACGGTGGGCGCAGCAGCTACCCACCTCCCCCCCGTTCGTTCGAAGATCGCGCCGTCGCCAAAGAACAAATGATGCAAGCCGTGCGCGAGTCGTCCCAGCAAGACCGTCGCGTCTATGTGGGCAACCTCTCCTACGATGTCAAGTGGCATCATCTGAAAGATTTTATGAGACAGGGTGAGCAGGGTCATATCGTGTTGCCGGGCGTGTGATAGCGTTTGTGCGGGTCTGGAATATGTGGCTGACTTTGGAGGGGGACGTTCCGCGCTCGAACAGCTGGAGAAGTCATCTTTGCCGATGTCTTACTGCTTCCCAATGGAATGTCGAAGGTGGGCGCCAATGCGTAGTGTGGCTGGTTTCCTTTCCCTTTTTGTGTTTCTGGATTTTTTTTCCTTCCCCTGTTGGTTCGCTTGTTATGGACTGTTTGGGTTGACGGGCTGGGCCTGGCCGTCCGGGATACTGTAGGGATGCGGGTGAGTTGACTTCCTTGGTCTTTGATTGTCAGTTTTGTGT